ATCTTTATCACAAGGGATGGACAGTTTGCTTCAGCAGTCTCCTTCAAGTAACCATGTTTGGATTCATACACAACACACTTCCCATGAAAATAAAAGATGATATCTATAATTATAATAATTATGCATGTCAAAATGAAATTAGGCAAAATGACATTAGGCAAACTGTCCGTAAGCAAATTGTTCGTTTATCGGGGATAGTGTACTGAAACTGTGAATAAATTAGACTGCTCATGGTTCTGTCGAGAAAGCAGTGATCTGTTTTCATCACGGTTATGAATAGTCCGTAGAGTTCGTTTCAGTTCACTGCACCATCCACTCAGTTTTACGAAAGTTTATATCAGTTCACAAAGAATGGATTTTAAGTCCTTTAGTCAGCTGAATACAATCCATCAACTTGTTCTCGCACCCGTTCATTACCCGTTGAGCTGCTCTTCCACCTATTTGTTACCCAGTTGCATGTTCTCGCACTTTCGGACCTCTTTAATCCGTTCTCCTATCTGTTCAGAATCCGTTAGACCATTTTCCGGCCGATTCAAGACCCGCTGATCCATTCTGACGCCTGCTCATAACCCGCTAACTCATTCCCTTACCAGCACGTTACCCATTATCCCGTCTCCCTATCTTTTGCTAGTTCGTTCATGTATTTTCCCACATTTGATAATCCGCTAATCCAAGTACAATCATTAACTGTTATCAACAGGTATAACAACGTCAATTCAAACAAATCACGATTTTCTTTCATTCATCCTTGCTACCTTGACTTTGCAATGTGAGTGTCACAATGTTCATATGAAATCGTGGTCCATCGTTCATATTATCAATTCGACTTCTTTACTAATCATTCACTTCTTAAACTCATTATGTGTGGAGGAAACCTGAGACAGAAACGAAGTGTACAAACAAGATTACAGTCAAATTTTGAATTTAATATTAAGCAAATAGATAATGAACTTTTATTCACGATGTGCATTAGCAATGGGAACTCACATCATCTATTGTCCTAATTTACGTTTATTATTATTATTCTGTACAGCATAATACCTCTCTGATTAGTCATTCGTAAGTGAGCAATTGATGACCCCAAATATCATTTTGTAATATTTCATTCGGGTATAGAAAAGAAATACATACTCTTATTCCTGATTAAACGAAGAAAAATTCGTCTGACGATCAAGAAATGAATTCAACATAAATAAAAACCAATGGTTCTTTTTGATCACGGAGACAAGCGAATGAGAGAGTGGAGAGCTTGAGCAAAAATAGACATCGCTAATAAGACCTCATTTGAGTGAACTTTTAATAACTCAAACCTTGATTTGATCGACCTTTAGCGGTTGTAACTTTGTTGGTTTGCTGGCTTCGCCCCTTTTCAGATCACCGTTTATCATGCCATTCGGAGCGTTTGACTGCTCCTTACGAGCCGCACTCAGTTTACGATTCGTATGGCGAGCTCTCACCTTGCCTTCATCGACCGAATTGCGACCCACTTCAAATACAGTATCTTCCTCCTTCGTTGAGTTCAACACAGGAGGATTTCTTTGACGAACAGTGGTGATCTCGTCTGGTAGGGATTCATGCGGCAGAGATTGGCTGACTGTATTAGCCGGTTCTCGGGATGCACATCGTTTGCCTGATGCGGTATTAGAATGACTGGCGGATGGTGTTTGGGCATCACATGAAGCACGAGGTTTTTGCTGGTGTAGTTGGGACGACGTCTTTCGTTGTTTTCTTGGAGATGCAATTTGTTGATCGTCATCATCAAGGGTCATCACCGAAATTCAGGTGGCAGGTGGTGGTATATGGGTAGAGACAGATGGCTTTGGGATTTCTTCGTTTCTTTTCAGAGAATGTGTGAAATGAAGTTTTGTGACATTGATAGTTGGACGCTTGACTGATGGAATGTTGTTAAATGGATTTGAGCGATACGGATGATGAATGCCGCAGTTACTTCAAAAGAGCGAACATGACGTGTTGTCTTGGAAACGAACCATCANNNNCCACTTTATTATGCATCTCTTCAAGCACAATTCAGAAACACATCTATGAATGCACCTTCTAACATAAAACTAATCAATGTCTCATGCATACACGAACTGCTGCTGCTTCATTTTGAACTCTTCGTTCATTTATTCGAGTACATCGATTAGAGTGCACGATAGCAATGAATACTGATTCATTCATTTATCCCTCTACGCTTGCCAAATCAATAATCGATGTTAGCATCTCATGATTCTCTGCGCTATTATCGTTAGCTTCACGTAAGGACGGATGTAAGGAAAGGGAGAATGCGACTCATTTCTATGGAATTTTTTAAACAATTTATACCCGTATTCCATCAGTGGAGTTTGAATCGTTTCATCGATCAGAAAACTGCAACAATTTATGTTTATGATCGAACTGAACATCATTAAATCCCAGAAGAAGGTAACACGTCTACTCTTGTCACTTCAGCAATGAAAAAACTCATAACGGTTCCAATTTGTCGGTTTTCTGATATTCAAAAACACTGAATTTCATAACGTGTCTGTTCATACAACCCGCAAGAAATTGTCCATTCATTCGAACGGAACAAAGAAAGGAGTCTTAGAGATGAAACAAGAGTTTAACTGTTTGTTGTGTTATGAAAGGAGATGGGAAATAGTAGTCTTGGAGAACTTATAGGGGAACAACGTTGACAGAAGAAAAATTCATGCGTTAATCCTCACTTAAATATTGAAAGGGTAGAGTTTTTATATGTTCCAAAAATACATCAAAAACGATAATTTTTAAACAAACTTTCATTCTTTATAT